CTCGAAAGCACAGTGGTACTTACTTAGGGCACCAAATTGTCAGGTAGTAAAGCCCCAAAGCCGAAACAACCCAAATTACAAATCCCAAGCCCTCTCACCCCTTAAACAGAAGGGGCGCAGAGGTTCAGGGTTCTGGACTTGGGGTTCGGGGATACTCGGAGGTAGTTCTCTCACTGTTAGTTTGAGGCTTAAGCAACTACGAGGCCCAATGCCCTAAAAGCTGAACTTGCCCTCCTGAGCCAAGTTCTCGGGGCTTTGGCCCGTAGGTACGGCACCGGGAAGCCCTGGCACGGGACGCTTCCGTGGAAGCACAAGAAGTCCCATCAGGCTTGCTGGAGCTAAGAAGAGAAATTTCAGTTGGGGGTTTAGGGTTTGGGCTTTTGGGGTTGAGCCCCGTTTAGGACTTCCTTTCGAGGTCTCGCACCTGCTTGTTGAGTCGGCGTTGAGAGCAGAGCGATCGGCGGGGGAGCCTCGCGATATCTCATGACTCCGAGGGAGGTTCAGTGTATCTGTATCGATCTAGAACACTACCTCTGTCTTAGTTATATAGCTATAGCTCAGGCAGCTACATACAGCGCGAGACCAAAAGGCCTTAGTAAAGTCCCCTGTGTCAAAGAAGCCTTGCTATAGGGGTCAGCATACAGAGTATTAGCATTGCTTTACGCTCCCTGTTGTATTTGTGATATCTATTATACCCGAAACTTCCTGCCACTTAAGGGTTTTTAAGATACCCAAGACTCTATTTCCGCCTGTTTCGAGGCCCTTATGGTATTATATAACCCTAAACCCTAGACCCTAAACCCTAAACGGTGTGTAAGCAGGCGCCACCGCCAAAGACTCGGCCTCTGTCGGCCAAGCTACAGCCACCAACGCCAGATGCAGGCCGGTAAAGGGTTCCTTTAAGGGTTCCTTTTAAGGGTCCCAGGGGTTCCTTTAAGGGTTCCTTTAAGGGCTCCTGTAAGGGTTTAGGGTTTCGGGTTCAGGGTTTAGGGTTTGGGGTTTATGAGAGGATCATGGGACTTAGTAACTAGGGTAATAAATAAGGTAACTATACTTACAACTCCCGGTACTTATAACCTTACTTACTAAGTCCCATGCTCCTCCAAGTATAGCGCTTGGAGTTTAGGCTTCAGGGGTTTGGGCCTCCTTCAGCGCCCCGCAGTAGGGGGTTCAGGTTGAGTCCAACCAAGTTGTTTATGAGGGGGGCTTTGAATTCGGTGGTGCCCTCATGCCGAAGCAAGGCGGAAGAAGTGACTCCCCGAAGCCTTAAAGAAATCCTGAGGACACTCTTAAACAAAGATGTAAAACACCCTCCCGAAACCATTTTAAGTATAGTATAACATCAGCCAAAACCCAGTTCCAATGATTAAGGCCCTAATCATAACCGGCACCATCATAATCAAGATAATCGTATAACCATAATAGTGACCATAACAATAATAATGACCGTCATCGTAGCCGTAGGAATAAACATACTAATAACCATAATCGTAGTAACAATACTAGTAATCGTCATAATAACAGTAGTAGTAGTAGTAGTAGTAGTAGTAGTAGTAGTAGTAGTAGTAGTAGTAGTAGTAGTAGTAGTAGTAGTAGCAGCAGTAGTCGTGGTGGTGGTGGTGGTAGTGGTAGTAGTAGTAGCAGTAGTAGTGGTGGTGGTGGTGGTGGTGGTGGTGGTGGTAGTAGTAGTAGTAGTAGTAGTAGTTACTAATCCTCGTATAATCCACGCCCTCCCGTCGGCTCTTCGGAGGCTCTCGGGCCGGTGGAGGCGTGGGGCTGCGGGATGCCGCGAACGTGCCCGGCCGGTGGCGGGCCTGGCCCGGGTGTTCGCTGGGGGTTTAGGGGTTTATGCTTTAGGGTTTAGGGGTTTAGGGTTTAGGGTTCAGGGTAACGCTACGCCGCCCGCCTCGGCAGTGTAGCGGCAGGGCGAGGGGGCAGTCGATGTTTTTTTATGCCGGGGAGGGGGGGGAGGGGGGGGGAGGGGGGAGGGGAGGGGGAGGCCTCGGCGGATTACCATATAAGGGCCTAGGGTTCGGAGGCTACTTGCCTGAGGGTTTAGGGTTTGGGGTTACTTTATGAGGGTTCAGGGGTTAAGGGGCTACCTTAGAAGGGTTTAGGGTCTAGGGATTACGTTATAAAGGTTCCAGAAGGGTTTTCGAGAAGGGTCCAGGTTTGGGGCTTCGGGTATTTGGTGAGGATTGCTCAGGGTTTACGAGTTTGCACTACCAGTGTTCGGATTTATTGTTCAGGGTGTATGCCTCTTGTAAAATGTTCTTCTGTTTGGCGCAAGGTCGAAACCTTAAACCCCTTGGCCCCCTAAACCCGCAGCCCTGAATCAGCCCCCTAGAAGGTCGATTGTGTCCCCATGTCGAACTCTGCCGAGGTTCGACCTTAGCCTCCGTGCCGCTGCAACACAGGCGTTCTGAGTGTGGCGGGAGGAAGACTACCCTACTTGCCGAGCATTTAGGGTTGTACATTAGGGTCCCCCACGTTCTTAGACTCCCATATCACCGTGACGAGGAGACAGATCGCCGCTTTCGCAAAAAAACAAGATAGAGCAGTAACCAGCAGCCAATTTTTAAGTATTTCCGACTTTCTGAAACGTCTCTCACGCTGAGCCTTACCTTTGGTTAGTAGGGCATGGGAGAATGGTAGTAATAGTAGTTATAGTTGTACCCCATTCCTCCATTCCCTATTAACCAAAGGTAAAGATCCCTTTACAGGAACCCTAAACCCCTAAAGATCCATTTAAAGGAACCCTATAGACCCCCTTAAAAGGAACCCTTCCATTCCCTACTATCCAAAGGTAAGGAGCCCCTAAACCCTAAACCCTAAACCCTAAACCCTAAAAAAAAAAAGGTAAGGAGCCCCAAGAGCTTCGGAGCCCTGCAGACAGGGCCCAGGCGGTGCTCCACCGCAGCCGGTGCCGAAGACGCCGCAGCCGCCGCCGACGCCTCCAAGCCTGACCCCGAAGCCCGAGCCCCAAAGCTCTTCCGGCTTTCCGCAGCTAAGGGGTCTAGGAGTCTAGGGTTTTTGGGTTGAGAGGCTTTTTTTTGGGGGGGGGTTTGCAGTTTAGGGGGTTTGGTTTTGTTTTCAATCTGCCCGGCTGGAGTGTGTCCAGATGCGATCGCAGCCTTGGTTTGTGGCAGGGACGGCGCACGTGCACCTCCATGTCATTTATCAAGGTTTTCTCCGAACTTACACCTTCGCCCAATTATCTTGCTGCCGAAGGCCTAATCATTCACGGCGTATGCGATGTCCCCAACACGGGCCTCTGCTGTGACCTGCAAAACACGAGCATAGGGTGTAGGATTCTCAGAAGAAAGACCCTTCGATTGATGCCTGTTACTAAAGCCTAAGCCCTAAACCCTAAGCCATAATCAGCCATACACCCGAAAACCTAAGCCCTACACACTGAGCCGAAGTGGGTCGAGAACACCTCGTCTTATCCTACGATTGTCCTTGAAGCCGGTAGTCTCATGACTGTAGCTACGATCTGACTATAATTATGATTAGGATTGGGTTTCGGGACATGGTACTGGATGGTGAAGACGATGATGGTGCTGCCAATGATTCCGTTGATGACCATGACCAAAGCGAGGAAGCGAGGAAGAAGACAAGCAACGAAGACGATGCTTTGATGGTGTTGAGGATGATCACAAGTATTACACACGGTCCCGCAATGTAGGCCCGAACCATCATGGGGGAGGGTTTCCTGAGCGTGCCCCATTTCCGTTGAACGTTCTCCCTTTGCGGTTTTGAGGCCTCTAAAATACTAAGCACTGCAAGCCCAAAGCCTCTACGGCTCTACGGCTCTACGTTGTAGCCGCTCCCAGGCAGGATGACACAGACGTCGACGCCGTCGGTGTTGCACGCAGCCCAGAAACTACGCTTCAGTGCTCGAATCGTGAATCTGGGAGAGCTAGCTGCAGTGTAATGGTGGAGGATAGAGGGCCGCTGCCGAGCTCCGTTCCTTCAGGGCTTCCTGCAAGCTTTCGCTTTAGAGTAGTTGCTATTCAGTAGTAGCCACTGCCAACCTTCGCCACTTTCAACAAAGCCTTCCGTCCTGCAGGCCTCCCTCAGGAAGATGTTGCCTGGTGTAGATGCAAGCTATTCTGTCTGTTCTGTTTTGGCATGCTGTATTTTCAAGGCTTCAGCCAACTTTCAATCTCAGACGCCTAATATAGGGGCCTTGAGAATTACCTACAGTACACGATTTTTGGAGGTTCCTCATGATAATGAGAGTATAATGGGACGCAGAACCCTATTCTAATCATTAAGGCCCCCATATGAATCCTGAACTCCGACAGTCTGAGCCCTGAGCCCGTAAGTTGCACAACAGCCAAAAGATACAGCTCGGCTGATGTAGGAACCTGATCAAGAAACCCTGGCCGTATAACCCCCAAATTCTTAGGATCCATATAAGGAACCTTAATAAAGACCCAAGGTGCCTTAATCAGGTTCCTACATTAAGTCTCCTGCGGAGGCATCTGCGGAAGCATCGGAGGACGGCTCTGAGGCGGCAGTTCCCCTGCGATCGGCTAGTGAGGTCAAAATAAGCAGCCAGTTCCCTATCAGACACGCAAAACTTAAAGTTCACCTGTGTTATAGTGCACCTCAACACCCGATTCTTGTCAGAAAGGCCCCTATGTTGGGTCTATGCGGTAGCAAGGGCAACAATGACTTCCAACGACTGAGTTCCAGAAGAACACGGGCCGGTTCCAAACCCTAATTAGCTGGAACACTTCTAAAAGTGAGGGACGCCCAATTCCGAACAACTCCCACGTGGCTATTGCGTCTGCTAGAAGGTTATCATTACTCTTGTGATGGAGCTCTGTGCACAAATAAATTGTAAGCGGTCAGTTGCCGGCCTGCCACGTTGACCTGATCGGTTCATGGTTTTTCTGTTGGCTTGCGGAGCATGACAATGTCCGTGCAGTAGTCTGCTGACTGAGCTTTGGATTCCAATCGGTCATGTTGCGTGCTCGGACAGGCAGCTGATGATGCGAGCCGCACCGTCGAAAGCGCTGAGGCACAGGAAACCCAGTCTCAAAAGAACCATCCCAAGTTTCAAACTGTCGCTTCGTTGTGTAATGGGTGAGTTGCGAAAGAGGTTGGGAAAGAAGGCACAGGATGAAGTCGCACAGTTGACCGCAGGTCAAAGAAGATGCCGCAAGAAGGTCGAGTTCGCATGAGGCGTGCGCTTCCTTCGAATCAGGTCAGCAAGTTTGATTGCCTGCAGTGGCAGCTTAGAAGAAATTGAATTGCAGTGTCCCTTGCAGGTGCCTGCTTCAAGGATGTCTGAGGCATCTGAAGACGGCGAAGCTCTGCCATCGGAGCCACAAGTGGAGCCCGCGGCCGTGGCGGTGGATGACAGATCCGAAGGGCCAGGCGATGTTCCAACAGGGCCGCTTGCAGACGAGGCTGCTGTCGCCACGACTACCGAGACGGAACCGGTTGCAGATCCACCTGAGACCACAGATGCAAGCCACGAGCAGGAGACCTCCCCCGAGCAACTGCGGCCTGCAGAGGAATTAGAGCCACAGGAGACGGAAGTTCCGCGCGAGCCACAAGAGCCACAGGAACCTCCGGAAGCTGTGAGCACAGCTATTGAGGAGACGGCGCCGCCTCCTGAAGCTGCAGAGCCACCAGAGCCGCCGGAGCCGCCAGAGCCGGCCGCGTCTCCAGAAGAGGCCACGGAGGAGGCCGAGGGCACCGAGTATTCGAAGGCTCAGGAGCTGCCGTTTCTTCCCAGCGATGCGGCCGAAGCCGGGAAGAAGGCCCTTGCGCCCCACTGGTCGCAGCGAGGCGGGGATCAAAGATAGGGCCATGGATAGGAGAACACCTGACAGGGACACATGAAGCACCAGGCATCGTAGAATCGCACAAGAACCTTCCAACGACCAGGTGGGAAGTGGCAGACGCGGGGGTCGAGGCTCAGCAGTGACGAGGAAGGTGAGCTCGATGATGACGAGGAGGCGCCCGTGAGCACCGACAGAGAACAACATCAGCAGGATCAGCAGTAGCACCATCCAGCACCAGCAGCAACAAGCGGCTGGGATGGCCATCAACCCGTCCTGTTCTCAAAAGTCCAGGGCGCTCAGACTTACCATACTCACCGGAAGTCACCAAATCACGACCATCACGAATGGCAAGCAACTCAACCTAAACACACTATCAAGCAGTCGTGGCTGCAATCGTCTTTTCATGGCAAGTTTGGGCGTCGTATCAGATTGCATCATCTTTTCCTGTCGGCGAAGCTTCAAAGTAATCTTAATGGCCACTCCCAAACCTTCACGTTTTCAGCCTTCGTGTCGATACCCTAGAGGTGTGATCTGCCACTTTCGATGAGAGTTTGCAGATTTCTCAACATGATGCGCTTTCAGTCTTCCGTGCGCGGGGCGAAGTTGTGAATTCCTAGCCCAACACTGAAACTGGCCACGAATCTCTCCCTGGTGAAGGCACAACGCCGGAAGATCGAGCGGGCGCAGCGCGCGGCGGAGCGACGGGCCAAATCCGGCAAATTGAAGGACAAAGACAGGCTTCGAGTTTAGGGTTCAGTGGAGTGTGGACTGTTGAATACGGCTGTGAGAAAGACGAGGAGCTCGCATCACGAGGTGATCGCAGTAGCCTGTGGTGCTAGGCAGCGGCAGCGGCAGCAGGAGGAGGAGGAGTAGTAGTTGTAGTGGTAGTGGTCGTAGTCGCGGTCGTTGTAGTGGTAGTGGGTAGTGCTAGTGGGTAGTGGTAGTGGTAGCAGTGGTAGTGGTGGTAGCAGTAGTAGTAGTAGTAGCAGTAGTAGCAGTAGTAGCAGTAGCAGTAGCAGTAGCAGTAGTAGTAGTAGTAGTAGTAGTAGTAGTAGTAGTAGTAGTAGTAGTAGTAGTAGTAGTAGTAGTAGTAGTAGGAGTAGGAGTAGGAGTGGCAGTGGCAGTGGCAGTGGCAGTGGCAGTGGCAGTAGTAGTAGGATTTGTAGGAGTAGTAGGAGTAGTAGCAGTAGTAGCAGTAGTAGTAGCAGCAGCAGGAGTAGTAGTAGCAGCAGGAGGAGTAGTAGAAGCAGTAGTAGAAGCAGGAGTAGTAGTAGTAGTAGCAGCAGTAGTAGCAGTAGCAGTAGCAGTAGCAGTAGCAGTAGCAGTAGCAGTAGCAGTAGCAGTAGCAGTAGCAGTAGCATTAGCAGCAGCAGCAGCAGCAGTAGTAGTAGTAGCAGTAGTAGTAGTAGTAGTAGTAGTAGTAGCAGCAGTGGCAGTGGGAGTGGGAGTGGTAGTGGTAGTGGTAGTGGTAGTGGTAGTGGTAGTGGTAGTGGTAGTGGTAGTGGTAGTAGTAGTAGTAGTAGTAGTAGTAGTAGTAGTAGTAGTAGTAGTAGTAGTAGTAGTAGTAGTAGTAGTAGTAGTAGTAGTAGTAGTAGTAGTGGCAGTTGTAGCAGTAGCAGTAGCAGTTGTAGCAGTAGCAGTAGTGGTAGTAGTATCAGTAGTAGTGATAGTTGTAGCAGTAGGTCGCAGTCGTTGTACTAGTTGGGCAGGAGTAGAGAGTGGACTTGGAGTGAACCTAGCCAGAAGAAGCTGCCAGAGTGGTAAGACTGCTCCAGGGCTTAGGAAGTTTCGAAGTACGTGTCAAAGGACGCCGTGGCACGATTCCAGTCGGATGAGGACCGGTGGATCTGGGTTTTCCGGTTGCTTTCGGCTTCAAGTTTCAGCTTTCGAACTCTGTATCCTTCTGGCTCTTCTTGGGCCTGAAGTGGTGGCAGTGCCATAACATTTGGGAGCTTATCAAGCACTGTTGAGCGATTCTACTTTGGGGGGTCCCCCTGTGGGGTCCCGCCTCACACCCTCAGCGACAACCTGCAAACTATGGTAAACCCTTGTGGGTAGCAAAACCGGACCCGATATAACCCTTAACAGAACCTTTCCAGAGCTATAAGAAGACCTATAGAACCCTTCACAGAACCCTGTGTAATCCTTTATAAGAACCCAACAAATCATATGAAACCCTGTGTAATCCTTATAAGAATCCTTACAAGAACCTTCGGAAAAGCCATTTAAAACCGCCCCTCATCTTTGGTGAAGGAGAGCCACGGCCCAGCAGGACCTCGGCTGTCGCCCCGGAGCGCCGCTGCCTCACGGGCGCCCTAAGGTTTCGGCTGCTTTGGGGGGCTCAGGGTTTGGTTTCAGAGTTCAGGACCCTTGCGATGTTTGGGGTTTGGGAGGAGTTCGTGTGGCGAGGCTTCTATGACGTTCCAGCGGCGGTTTCTGTCTTACCCAAATCCTACACGGGATTATTTGTGCGACGGCCGCGTGTTGTTCCGAAATCTTTTGCTTTCCGCAAACCCTCCTTTGTTGTTTCCACCTGACGCCATCTTCAACATTCCGATCCCAAACCCATCTCAACCCTCACCGATTTAAAAGATTTAACATCCTTCGAACATCAACAAAGCCTTTGGCGGAAGCAAGCGAAGTCCTCTACAAGATCCTAGCAAGCCCACGCGAGGCCGATATAGAGCAAACGAGAGCCGCTGTCCAAGCTTCATCAACCCCCCGAAACCATGATAAGACTGTGACTAGAACAGCCCAAAAGATCGAAAACCCTTATACCACATATACCTTATAGATTATAGTACCCTAATGTGTATGGTACCCTCATAGTACCCTCCTCTAACTCATACTTCGTGCCCCTGGAAAACCCAGAGCCCTAAACCCTAAACTCTAAACCCATAACTCCATAACCCTAAGCCCTAAACCTTTACAGAGCCCTTGTGGTACCCTCAGGCTACACTCTTTCGCTTGGCCGGGGAGCTTCAGACCGCACCGGCCTCCGATGCGCCCACGCTGCTGGGGATCCTCCAGGCGCTGGGCTCGGGTTCGGGTCTAGAGGTTAAGGTTTGAGTTTTTACGGTTTGGGGTTGTGCCCACCTTGAAGCTCCGAGATGGGGGTTTTAGTTTCCGCGCTTGAGGCTGGTCCCTAAAGTTTTAAAGAACCTCAAAGCATCGCGAACTTGCAATTTGCAAACTCCCCTAAGCTCATCCCTTTAAAACCCCAACAACCCCGAAGCCTCCCCAAGCCCCCAAGTCCCCGCCCCCACGCCCCCAAACATCTTGCGACTAGGAGCTCGAGCGCCTGCCAGCTACAGTCGAGCTCCTGAGGCTTCGTCACCGTTCTTTCGTGTTTAGGGTTTGGGGTTTAGGGTTTAGGCCCGAAGTATGGAAGGTCATCGAGGATTTTCAGGTTCTCTTGAAAGCGCCTCTTGTGGAAGGCGACGTTAAGGAACAGGATTTAAGGTTCGAGGGTGCAAGCATTCCGGGCCTGCTCGAAAAGGTTGTTCCGAATCGAGCAGTCATGTTCCAAGCATAAAGGAATCCGACAGTTATATAATATAGGGGCCTTAATAATTACCTATACTATTTTGGGGGTTCCTTATTATAACTACAGTATAATGGCCCCAAAACCCTGTTGTAATTACGCAGGCCCTTGTAGTAGACCAGAGGCGGTGGGTGATGTCATTATCGCATTGGCATGATCCCGGAGCGCTAGGTTGCTATACTCCGTAGCTATGGGTTCCAGCTGCTCCGACTAATCAACGGGAAGTCTACACCGCGAAGTCCCTGACATTGGGTTCGAAAGTGACAGTTCGATCTATGCTAGCAGGAGGTGGGGCCACAAAGTGCACCGTTTTGGGTTTGACAGCTTCGGGTTTGGGTTGGTGATTGACCCTCAGATTCCAAGCGAGGTCTAGGGTGAAATCACAAAGGTCAGGATGAATGGAGCTCCCAGAACCATGAACTTAAACTCCAGTATCGAGTTCTGAGTGATGGTTACTTCTCCTTATCGTTCCTCCATGTTTATGGTATGATATGCTCCAAAACCGTGTTCTGATTGCAGCACAGGGCCTACTTGGAGGATCATGGGACTTAGTAAGTAAGGTTATAAGTACCCTAATTGCAGTTATAAGTATAGTTACCTGATTTCTAAGCCTATAGTTACTAAGTCCCATGATCCTCCAAGTGGAATAGGCCCCCCCCCCCCCCAGAGCCGGCTGGGCAGCCATCTGTCCGCCAGGCAAACTCAGCTCGGGGTTATCACGCAGCCCTTCAAGGACTGCCGAGTAGTAAATGAGGGGCCTTCTCTGGGGGTTCCTTACTAGAGTTCTAGTATGACGGGCCCCAGAACCCTATTCTAACCTATATTAGGGGATTAGAGTCTGGAGTAAATGCTCCGAGACCCCTAACGTAGCCCTGAGGGAATCAACAGGACAACTCTTGTGTGGAACCCTTTGAGGGGACTCTGAAAAGAACCCGTTTAGAAACTGAAGCATAAGAACTCCGGCAGCACCTTCATCACCTCCACCGTTTTCTGGCAAAGTAGCACTCTTGTGCCGAGATCGCTGCCCCCCAAAAACCTCTTGTTGAACCGCACCCTCTAGCTCCAGAACCTCCGAAGCTGCAAAGCCATAACAGAACTTGAGCCTTATTGTCCCAAGCTCTGGCGCGAGCCCCTTAAACTTTCCTTGCCCCTCATGCCGCCCAAACCTTGCGCCTTCAACCAACCTCCCTCAACCTGTCCCGAACCCTGAGCGCCGAAGCCTGAGCCCCAAGCACTGAACCCGAAACTCGACACACAAAACCTTGAACCCTAAACCGTGAGCCTTGGTGTAGCAAACCCGGATTGCGGGCATCAAAAAGGAGCTCAGAAACAAAAACAAAAACCGTGAGCCTTGCATCTTCTATACATTCAAACGTTACCCCAGTGCCGCTCGAGTGTAGACCCTAAGCTGCAGAATCTCCACTTCATGAGACAAAAAGCCACTCCGTATAGAAGCCCCTACAAACCCTTTAAAACCCGAGAAGCAAACTTGATGAGAACAGTCTATCCCTTATAAAACCCTTGTCTAAGCCCTGGTTAACACACCCGATGAAACAGCTCGTAAACCCGTACAAAGCACTCCCTTCAGTCTAAACCTTAAGCGGAACCTTAAACCCGAAACCCTACAACCCTAAACCCTAAACTCCAAACCCCAAACAACCGAAACTCTGAACCCTAAAACACTAGATCCTAAACCCCGCAACCCTAAACCCTGAGCCCTACTACTACTACTACTACTACTACTACTACTACTACTACTACTACTACTACTACTACTACTACTACTACTACTACTACTAGAACTACTACTAGAACTACTACTAGAACTACTACTACTACTACTACTACTACTACTACTACTACTACTACTACTACTACTACTACTATAACTACTACTACTACTACTACTACTACTACTACTACTACTACTCCTACTACTACTACTCCTACTACTACTACTACTACTACTACTACTACTACTACTACTACTACTACTACTACTACTACTACTGCTACTGCTACTGCTACTGCTACTACTACTACTACTACTACCACTACTCCTACTACTACTACTACTACTACTACTACTACTACTACTACTACTACTACTACTACTACTACTACTACTACTACTACTACTACTACTACTACTACTTTTACTGCTACTACTACTACTACTACTACTACTACTACTACTACTACTACTACTGCTACTGCTACTACTACTACTTGGAAGGGCAGGGGACTTAGTAAGTAGGATATAAGTAGGGTTATAATTGGGGTAACTCCATTTAGGGTACTTATAACTTTACTTATAACCTACTTACTAAGTCCCCTGCACCTCCAAGTAGACCCTAAACCCTAAACCCCACAGATCCCCATAAGGAACCCTATAGATCCCTTCATGGAGCCCTTTAAGAGCCCTTACTAAGTCCCCTGCCCTTCCAAGTACAGGACCACGGAGATCCGGAGGTTCGCGCCTTGGCCAAGCGCCTGAGGCCTGCCGGCACCCTCGGAGTTCATGATTTGGGTTTAGGGTTTAGGGTTTAGGGTTTAGGGTTTAGGGTTTGGGGTATAGGGTTTAGGGTTTAGGGTTTAGGGTTCCGGGTTTTCGGATTTGGGGTTTAGTAGCCATTGACCCTCAATCCAACCCCTAAACCCTAAATCCAAAACACCTAAACTTGCATTGCAAGGGCAGGGCAGGCATGGAGAAAAAACAAAAGCAATTTTCCAGAAAACCACAAACCATACACCCAAACCCTACACAACTTCCTAACCCTGAAGCCTAAATCAAAGACCCCAAACCCTATTCAACCATACCCTAGACCCTCCGGCTTGGTACCGTGAAGTGCGAACACTTTGGCTATTGTGTATGAAACCCTGACCTAGACCCTCCGGCTTCGTGGTGTGAAGTGCCGATATGCTGGTTTTTGCATGCGAAACCCTAACTTAGGCCCTCCGGCTTCGTGTCGCGAAGAGCCGATTTTTTTGCATGCGAAACCCTAACCTAGACAGTCCCGCTGCGTGTCGTGGATTAGGGATTTTGGGGTTTGGGGCTTTCAGTTGAGGGAGGGTTTAGTTTGGGTTTTTGGTTTCTAAGGTTTTTGGTGTAGTCGGGGCTTTGGTTCTTTCGGGTTGCTTGAGGCACCATCTTCGCAGCTGAGGGTTTGTTGCTGCCAACAGCAGGCCTTGGCATAGTGTATGAATGAAGAAGCACTGAATTCTTATATAAGTGGGCAAGGCACGGCCGCTGTATAGCCCCAAGCACTCGGCTCCTCAAACTCAAACGGGGATCGAAGCTTCAAACCACGCCCTTTAGAATGTAGCAATGTAGAACCATCTGCATTTCTGTCACTTCACCTGCCAGGCGTACCTGGAAGGACTTGATCGCCACGGCTGCGGGCGAGGTGGGCTGGGATTTCTGCGGCGATGGTGCGCAGGGCTGTAGGCCCTCGCATCATTTGTGTTTTTGAGTCATGTCGTGTCCCTCATTTATGAGACAGTTCAGCGCAAGAGAGGCAAACTTGGGTCTTTGTGCTACTTGATTGGTGTGCATGTTTGGGAACCAACGCCATGGTTTCTGATTTGCCTTTGGGCTCAGGCTCCTTTCATCCCTGTCCAGTCTGGGGCTCGCGTTCTCCTCCATCCGTTACCCACATGTGAGAGTCGCAGAGCTGATGCCATGTTCCTGAAGACATCAAACCTTGTAGAAAACGCCTTTTAACCCTATACATGTTCCTGGGACGCAGGCTGGCGCAAGTTGCGGGTGCTGATGCTCCAAGTATAATAATGCATGTTCGTTTTTTCACGCTGGTGTGTAGTACTAAGAGGGGCTGGGCATTCACATCAACGGAGGGAGCGCTTGACATCTTGATGTCGCAGAAGTCCACCGAAACCCTGAAGCCTCAACCGAAGTCCCAAGACTGTCGAATTCAACATAGCCAGCACGGTACAGGCCGCTGCAGCAATGCCACCAGCGCCGCCACCGCCGGAGACGGAGGAACTCACTCCGAGACCAGAAAGGTTTTGATAATGTTTTGGAGGTTTTGTGAGTTTTGTTACGGGTATTATTGCTACTTATGCAGACCTCTATGACGTTTCCTATCATGTGCAGCGTGGCTGCTTGAAGCTGCTACGATTCCTGCTGCCAATTCCAACTATTGTTATCGTCTGAGCTTGACTCGGTTGAGTTGTCAGTCTTTCTTCAATCCTTTTTGGGACCTGCTGGTAGATCCTACGCTGTTGTCTAGGTTGCAAGGTGCATGGCTTGCCTTGCCCGATGCACTAAGCCCGAAGCCCTAAAGCCCCCAAACCTTAAACCCTAAACTGCCTCACGTCGCTGCGGAGGTCGAGAGCTTGTGCCAAACGCGGCGAAACCCTCTGAAGCATAAACCCTGAACCCCTACTTGCGAAACGCAAAACCTTGAAGAACCCTGAACCCAAGCCTTACATCCCAAACAAATAAACCCTAAACCTTGAAGAACCCCACAAAAACTTCGGACCAGGCGGCAACGGCAGCAAGCGCGGTGCTTTCGAGGGAGCCGCACCACGGCATGGCTTCTCGGCACAACGAAGTGCTGGATTTTATGGGGTTTTGAGGTTCTTTAAAGGGCCCTCCCAGGGTTTCCTTCAGAACTACTTAGACAAGTTCGGTTCTTTAAAGGGCCAACAGTTTCAATAAGAACCACTTGGACAAGTTCTTAGTTCCTCCTAAGCTTTGGGAGATGTTACGGTTCGAGCTTCAACCGTACGAAGCTTCGTCGTCCTGGTCCTTGAAAGCCTTGTATCCGTAAAGGTGTACGTGTACAGGTGACCCTCATATAGTACCCTAAATGGTAAGATCCTTATTCTATGGACCCTGAATAAGGTAACCCCTAATTTTCGGGAACTCTTTTTTCAAATCTTCAATCCCTAAATACTAGGACCTTTTTTACAAGGACCCCAAACTCCTAAAACTCAAATCCGAAAGCGCCCAAGCGTTGTTGGCTTTAGCTCTCCGAGGCGCCTCTACTAAACCCTTATGGTAGCCCTATACACACATGCCGGGGAGCGGATGCACGGCGCAAGCAGTGCAGTCCACGGGCGAAGCGAGTTCGAGTCTGAGAAAAAGCTAAATCGGCCTGGCGAGCGCCGCTCGAGAGCGAACATCTCTGCCCTGTACAAATTGGCCTAGACTGACACGGGCCCTGAGGTACAAATCAGAAGCGATCCCGATGACCAAACCATCCAGAGCATAACCTATCCCAAAAGAGGAAAGATCAATACCCTGAACAAGCAACGATTGTAGACCCAGGCCGTGCAGTGCCGGGCGCAGCGCCCTGCGTACTAACTGAAGACGACCCGCTACCGTAGGAGCGGGTGGCAGAAAACTAACAGAGTCGGCCGAGGCCCACTGTCCAGCAGCACTACTGATTGGATACCGAATGTTCGTCTCGAGATGAAGCATGAACACCAGCTCCAGCCATGATATCGAAAACGCCTCGGGGGCCTGCGCATCCTGATCAAACAGAAACTCGAGGTCACAAAGTCGTGGGGCAGGTCGCTTGAGGACTTCAAAAGCTGAGCTCTCCAGTTCAAAGGCACTGGAAGAGGGAAAGGACACTTGAGGCTCCCACATGTCGTCATCGTCACCAGCGCGCAGAGGGCGAGCTGGGCTCCGTTGGTTGGCAATCCCGAAGAAAATAGCCCGCAATGCTCCAAGGACGTGCAAGACATCCCGGTGGTAGGCAAGCGCGGCCGCGTGAACCTCGATCAGTCGCCGTGGCCGGTTGCGGGCCGCAATCCCCGCCAGAAGGTCTGCATGACCATTGTGGCAGGCCAGCCAGTCTTCATATGGCGATTCAGTTTTGGCCTCGTCCAAGTGTGAGGGCGTGTGCCGGACCAGAAATCGGCCGCCATGTAGTTGCATCAACAGCCCAGCGAGGAGGCGCCATAGGTCGGTGTCGGCTCCATCAGGAGGGTCGAGACCGGCCTGAATGGCCCCAACCCCATTGGCCACATTCAGGGCAGGTGGCCCCACAGTAACCTTTATGGATCCCTTAGTAAGAACCATGTAAAGGAACCGAATTCTAGTAGTAGGGCCCCTATCTTAGCTTCGACTCGCCAAGGCGCCTTCCGTAGAGGTGTATAGGGGACCCTCATATAGGACCGGTACCCTGGGTAGTAGGATCCTCATTATATGGACCCCAAAATAAGGTACCCCCTCTGCAAGGCGCCTTTGATGCCCGGGCTAGAGCAGGAGGCAGAAGAGCTCCTGCAAGAGCTGGAGGACAACTGGGCCCGGGCTTCTTTGGGGGACCTTTAAGGGGTTCTTATAGAGGGTTTATAAGGGTTACTGCAAGGGCTACCATAGTAGAGCTGGAGGACTTTTGGCGGGTTTTCTCTGGATTCAGGGTTTAGGGACTTCTGGTGGGGCTTTGTTTTGGTGGTGGAACCCTTGTAGAGGATGCTGCAGGTCCTCTAGGAACAGGAGTAAGGTAAGCAAGGTCGGTTTGTCCTTCCGGTGCTTCCGAGACGAATAGGTGCCGTCCGTAGAACACGGAGATTCGGGGATTCGAGCCTTGTGGTCACTTGCGCAACTTGCGCATTGCGGTTCAATCTCGCCCAATACTACTCGAGTTTTCCGAGAGAAGGATAGCAGAGAAGGTGCAGACGAGCCACTTCATGCCAGTATGCTATACTCTAAATGCCTCAGAATTTCAAGATCCAGAACCCGCAAAGCGACAGCTTTCGTTCTGACGTGGCATAGTTGTTACTGCAACCCAGTCAATCAGTGCAGTATTCGTTTGGTGCGAATCGGTATACCTGCTGCTTCATCCCTTTCGCTTTGCGTCGTTATTTCTTTTGTGACTAGGCCCAGTCTTATTGCCGTTATTACTTGTTTGGTCTGCTTCTCTGCATCTTCTATTTAGCGGCTCCAAGCTGTAGCCGCCCCGAAATGCGAAACCTTACAACCCTGAACCCGGCATGTTCTTCAAGGCCCCTTGCGGTTCCCCGAGTTCAATCACACCCGCGACAACATTGACAGTAGCAAGGAAAGAGCCAAGACAGATGATAGAGTCACGAATAGCACCAGCGGTGACATCGATACCGCAAGGAAAAATGTTCCCAATGAGAAGGAAATGTTTTAACCTGACGATGCGATGTTGCCGCACAGCAATGACAGAGCTGCTTTCGTCTTCCACTGCAAGACTTCTGTGGGACGACGACTGCTGCTGCTACGACGACCGACTTCTACAACTACCGCTGGGAGTGTGCTCCGACTGTTGCCGCTGCTGGCACTCACTCTCCTTCTCGTCCTCTTGCTGCTCCACTACTCCTTCCACTGCTGATGGACAAGATCCTGCACTCTCCAGAACCAGGACTAGACCATGAGCCCATTCATCTCCGAAAGTGCATGGTACTTAAGGTCATGCAATACCAATAGCAACGAACAAGGCCAGAGCTCCCATATTGCCGGATACTTAGGTTTTTGAGAGGTCATGTAGGATGTTGTCCATCAGCCCCTAGTACTATGGCTAGCTACAGGAGGCCACCTCGCCAGAGCGCCGTCCTGACGTCGGAGTGCGAACGGCCAAGGCCTTGTGGTAGGCCTTAGGGGTTAGAGGTTAGGGTTTCCGGGTTTACATGTCTATAGCTTAGGGCTCAGTACTTTTGGTTTCGGGTTACGCTGCAAAGAGTCATGGCTGCAAAGAGTGCATGGTGCAAAGCCAGCGAGAGTAGGCATAAGCTCATGCACACGGGTTGCAAGGACAGCTTCGTAGCAGTAGGGGCTTCTGGTCTTTGGGTTCTCCATGGCAGTCCTGTGCGTGGAATCCATGTTCCGATGTCATCGCAATGCTGGCAGTAGCTCAGGGCCCGAAGTGCTAGTGGTCGCTGCTCTGATGGTAGCAGATTCAGATATCAGGCTATGCGGAAGCATCGTTTGAAACTGCAAGTTGCGAATATCCAGCGGCCTGGAGTCGGAGTCACAGCGGCCTGGAGTCGACAAATTTCAGCATGAGCCGGAGCTGGACAGCTGGTCAACATTTGATGATATAAATCCTGCATGACGTTAAGGACCCTAAACTATGGGAATTATGGTATATTCCTTATTATGGGTAAGGCAGGATTTATATCATCAACCGTAGTATACCTCAGGGTTCCCTAACGTAGATGTAATTTTTTGCATAGAGGTTGAATAGCCCTCGTCTAGCTGAGCAGGCCCCTCTATACAAACCCGATACAACCCTAAACAGCACCATAAACCCGAAAAGACCGAACTACACATGGGTGGTTGTCAAAATTAGGGTCCCTTTTGGGGTCCCTATTATAGTACGGCACACCTGATATTTAGGGTACCCAAAAAGGGACCATAATTTTGACAACCACCCACATCATAATCCTCCAGATAGGCCTGCCACACGCTTTATACTGGAAGCCTCCGATCTCTACCCTCCGGGAATAACCCCGAGACCCCAAAACCCTAAAACCCTAAAGCCCTAAAGCCCTAAACCCGAAACCCTAAATTACTAAAACCCTAAAACCTTAAACCCTAAATCCCTGAACCCCTAAAACCCTAAAGCCTAAACCTCGAAAGCCTGAAACCTTAAACCCTAAATCCCTAAACCCTAAAACCTTAAATCCTAAATCCCTAAACCCTAAAACCTTAAATCCCTAAATCCCTAAACCCTAAAACCTTAAACCCTAAAACCCTAAAGCCCCGAAACCCCTAAATCCTAAAACCCTAGAACCCTAAAACCCTAACTCCCTAACCCGAAAACCATAGCGCCTAAACCCAGATCGAAAAGGAGCCCTTAAACAGAACAATTTAAGCCCGAATCCTAAACTGCCAGGTCGGCGGCACAGACGACGCCGACGAGGTCTTCGGTCCGACGCCGCGGCATGAGCCAAACGACCACGCGCCTCGGCTTAGGGACCCAAGAGGGACCCAGAGAGCCCAATACCCTTTAATTAAGGAATATACCTGGAATTATAAGGGGATTCATATTATGATTTAAGCTATATTCCTTAATTAAGGGGTATTGGGCTCTCTGGGGACATTATGAGGGGGGTTTAGGGGTTAGGGTTTACGACTTTTTTGGGGATTTGAGGTTTAGGGTTTAGAATTTTTTGGGGTGTAAGGATTTTTTAGGGATAAGAGTTTAGGATTTTTTAGGGTTTGGGGTTTAGGGCTTGGGACTTTTTAGGGTTTGGGGTTTAGGGTTGAGGGCATTATGAGGGGGTTTAGGGTTTAGGGTTTAGGATTTTTAGGGTTTGGGGTTTAGGGTTGAGGGCCTGCAATGTACCCCGAGCCCTATACACTTTAATCATTAAAGCCACCCCCACATTGCCGTGAACCGATCTCGGCTTCCGCGATGGGAATAGAGCCGCCTGAATTCCATACCCGAAATCCGATGCCCTAACCCCGGTGCCGTAAATCCTGCACCCCAAACTCGAAGCCTTAAACCGCTATCGCTAAGCGCGAGAGCAACATGTTCGAGGGGTAGAAGTTTTCAAAAACCAAGGCCTAAACCCATACATATATGTATATATATATATACATATATGTATATATATATATATATATATGTATATATATATATATATATGCATATATATATATATATATATGCTACCCCCCCCCAAGACCCGCAAAAACTAGTAAAAGGTCCTGATACTCTCGTGAAGTATTGCGATACAGCATTACTACAACTAATGTTAGGAATTACGCCAAACACAATATAACCAAGATAATCTAGTGAAGTATTGCTCTGCTGTCCGCCCTGGAGCAAGAAATGTAAGTATTCTTATAAACTTTTAGACAGTTCGATACCGTACTAATAACATTTGGCATTAGGCATTACGCAGCTCACAATATATATATATATATATAAGATAATCTAGTGAAGTGTTGCTTTGTTGTCCTCCCTGGAGCAAAATATGTAAATATTATTCTAAACTTTTATACTGTTCGCTACCGTATTAATACAATTGGTATTAGGCATTACGGAGCACACAATATATCTAAGATAATCTAGTGAAGTATTGGTTTGTTGTTTGTCTTGCTCCAATAAGTCCAGGTCGCGTTGCATCCACTCGCCTCAGTTGTATAGAGAAGTTAGCATACAAATAGTATAGTTAGACTACTCTCGTTAGAAAAGCTGTCTCCAGAGGCCGGTCATTTATACGCCAAGCAAGTATGTCAGGTGAGACATCGTCGGAAAGACTTTACCAAGCTCCGCGTGTCACCTTCCACTGTGTTTGCGAACTCGGCTTTTGCGTCACTGGACCATGCACAGCTGTCACAAACTGTACACAAGCGAGACCAGTTACCTGCTTGCCGCTCCATGTACACCGGATATACACTTTGGCATCCAAGCGCTTGGGTCATAAGGGTTAGTATCCATGCCATCGCAGTGCTCCTGTGGCGGCCACGGACGCAGTAGACGCCCACATGCAGACTACGTGTACCCTCAGGACGCGTCATAATCCACCATAGGAAGTCGCCTATCAGGTCCTTGCACACCACATGACGATATGTTCTCTCGAGTATGGAATCATGGAACCCAGCGTGACCATTGAGACTTGGATCTCTATCCGGGTTGTTAATGTCGCAGCAATCCACCCTGTAGTCGTAGTTCTCACGGTCGCCTCTGCCACGGAACTGTTTGCCGTAGACATAGAAGACAATCGAAACATTCCACAAGAATCGATAGGGAGGCAGCGTAGATACTTCACTCAAAGTGGTAGTCCGTCTGGCAGACCTGCTACGTCTTCGCATGGCTCCGAAACTAAACTACTATAGCAAAGAAAGAAAGTCTTATAGTATAATAGATCTGTCTGTTCTGTTTTTTTTCTCAGCCAATGGAGACATGCTTGAGCCGGACTAATGCAGTCGAGTCGCTGTGACATACAAAAAGTACACACGCAACACGTCTTCATCCCACCCCACCCCCGCGCGCGCGACAACCCCTTACATAGCTATACTGCATCATGAGCTTATACACAATACGATAGCACGCGTTCTTTTCATGTCTTTTCGCAGCAGAGGTCCCACCGTCTCAACGAGACAATGCAAACATGTCTTCTTCGGTCAAGGCCGCTTCACGTGTCCTTGTCAGCTTAAAGAGCACCTCGCCCACCCGCAGCACTGGCTGTCCTCAGGCTTATAGTCGTGCCAGAGAAATATTATTTATGTATATTGACGAAAAAAGGCAATAAAAGCGTGTATATAATACTTGTATGCGAGCATCCATTAGGCAATCTGTCTTCGACAATTTCCCGGAAAACCGGTGCAGACGGAACAGGCCCGAGAACGACATCATCATCTTCGTCGATACCTGAGGTATAGTTCTCTTATTGTGCTGACAAGAAAAGGGAAGACGGAGATAAGAAACTCTAGATAAGCAGCCGTCCATGAACTCGCCGATCACATAGGTGACGTCGAGCGGCACCACACGTCCCATAAGGGTATACCATGGCACCAAGGACATGTCTTCGAAGGGATTTTTTCGGAGTGATGTTCTCGACGCAGAAAAGGCTGAGGGATATATAACACAATCATAGTGAACGCGCGTTTGAAAAAATATTGCAGCTTCGCGATGTTGAAGTACCAACTACGCAGCAAGGTCGCTCAAACTCTTTTTTTTGCGCTGTGCACAACTGCTTCCTCGGGGTCACACAAAACTTGCCACAAGACTGCATTTCTACATGATCTGTACCATCAGCAGATGAAGACCGCACGCACGGCCGCAAGATCTTTACATGAACAGCTTCATGTGGTCGGCGCACAATTCACCGCACTTGAGCCACAAGTCTGTGTTGCGGTACCAATATTCATATTGCGCTGCTCTAAGCTTAGCCCGAAGCATACGCGAACCAGCTTTGCTGTGCTGGTTGATCTGGATACGGTCTTTCAAAAACCGCCAGCACCTGTCAATCACTTGAGTGCCCGATTTCACAGACAAAATCTTCTTGCTCTTCGGCAGGGTGTGCTTCACAATGGAAACGTACTTAGGATGGATCCAGGTGTACGTACTTCCCGTTCTTCTTAACGCGCTTGCGGCAATGGACCACGCGATCGTGAATGACTCCCGGTATGACGAGTTTGTATGACTTTGCTGAATCGGTATGTAACACAACGTTACGATCTTTCAGCAGCTTCGTGCCGATCTGCTTCCACTCTACACGACGGATAGCTCCTGGACCGGGAGCTCTTTTCACGTTGACCTTGGGAGTAAGCCTTTGCAAAACCAATGACTGTGGATGTCCTCTCTGAATACACCCAGCCCATTGCTCCCACATGATGGTAGTGTTCTTGTTCTTCATGAGATGTTTGAAGTCCAGCTCGTTGGAGATATCGCGCTTGTCGAAGGTCGCTTCGTCCTATTACTAACAAAAGCGTACAAAATATTCCGGTGTTACAATAAATATAAACACAGGGCGACTCTTTACACGTACAAGTATCAAAGTCAGATCATAGGGCTATTCCTTTTAGGATCAAAAAATGTAGGGTATGCTACGAAGATAAGATACACCAAATGTCGTGCGATGTACATATGAAATTCCTACACGCGGTCGTATCGATTACACGAAAGACAATGTATCCGAAATAAACTAGTGAAGTATTGCTTCGTTGGCTGCACTTTGACACTGATCACGCGTAGATAGGTACTAATGTTATTCCAAGTGTCTGCTTCGACATCTTTCCAATTCTTGCCATCTCCGAAGACAATCTTCTTCTCCTCTTTGTCAACAAATACTCGTCGAAGCTCGCATAGACGCTTTTCCATGTCCTCGATTGCCTTGTGGTTGATGTCTAGAAGAAGATGAATGGAAGGATGAGGAACCCGCAGGAGCTTCATCAAGACGAGACTGCTCTGCATCTGTAGACTCTGTGCCCCCGTTCCACGCCCGTCAGTAAAGAGTTGGTGCAGATGGTGTGGGTTGATCCAAACGTGGCAAGCCCGGGATGAGCAGCGATGCTTGTATTGACCGCTGGGAGTATGAAGCTTGAGCTCTGATAAGGTACCTGTCTCGCATCTCGGACAGACCTTGTTCTTCCAATTCGGAAGAATGCGGTCCGCCACCAGCATCTTGACGATATTCTTGTTGGACGCCATGAGTAGTTGAAGGAGAGTACGCTTCCATTTGGCTTGCTCTTTGCGTACACCACGAGGGCCAACAGCAACATTCTCACAGATGTACTTTACCGCCTGCCATGCTTTGGTCTTCTTGGTCGCTGGGCGCTTCTGTACAGAACGGAGTTTCCCTTTTTCCCGAAAGCATCGCGAAGGGTTCTTCCGGGCGGAGCCCCGCAGATGATTACATAGATGACTACATGGATGACATACATAGAATCAACTTACTTGACTCTATACCTTACTTGACTCTACACTTGATACTTGACTCTAGATGACTACATAGATGACAGACATAGAATCAACTTACTTGACTCTATACCTTACTTGACTCTACACTTGATACTTGACTCTAGATGACTATCTCTGTTCAAGCTCATAGCACTTGAAACTGACTTACTTACTTGACTCTGTGCTATCTCTATACTTACTTACTGACTTACTTACTTACGACTTCAACTTACTTTCTTACTACTTACTACTTACTGACTTACTTACTTGACTCTACTTACTTACTGACTCTACTTACTTACTTACTTATGACTGACTCTCTATGCCTCTATGACTTACTCTCTACATCTCGGTATCTAAATCTCTCTTCTAAAGCCGGGGGGTGGCACCGTCGGCGTCCATCGGGAATGCAACCCTTCACAGGGATTCGCCTCCTCGGGCGTTCAAATGCGAGGTAAAGTTACACATTTTAGGCGCGCGGGCGAACCATTCACAGGGATTCGCCTCCTCGGGCGTTCAAACGCGAGGTAAAGTTACACATTTTAGGCGCGCGGGTGAACCCTTCACAGGGATTCGCCTCCTCGGGCGTTCAAACGCGAGGTAAAGTTACGCATTTTAGGCGCCCGGCGCAACCCTTCACAGGGATTGGAACTCTCGGGCGTTCAAACGCGAGGTAAAGTTACACATTTTAGGCGCGCGGGTGAACCCTTCACAGGGATTGGAACTCTCGGGCGTTCAAACGCGAGGTAAAGTTACACATTTTAGGCGCGCGGGTGAACCCTTCACAGGGATTCGCCTCCTCGGGCGTTCAAACGCGAGGTAAAGTTACACATGTTGCGGTGCCCGCGCAACCCTTCACATGGATTCGCCTCCTCGGGCGTTCAAACGCGAGGTAAAGTTACACATTTTGCGCACGCCGCGCAACCCTTCACAGGGTTTGGGCGCAGCTCAACTGCATTTTGCAACCCTTCACAGGGATTGGCATTTTGCAACCTTTCACAGGGATTGGCATGGTCGAGTGTTCGAACGCGAGGTAAAGTTGCATTTTTTGATGTGCATTGAGTTGAATTTTGCAACCCTTCACAAGAATTGGCGTGGTGGAGTGTTCGAACGCGAGGTAAAGTTGCAATTTTTGATGAGCATTGAGCTGAATTTTGCAACCCCTCACAGGGATTGGCGTGGTGGAGTGTTCGAACGCGAGGTAAAGTTGCAATTTTTGATGAGCATTGAGATGAATTTTGCAACCCCTCACAGGCATTGGCGTGGTCGAGTGTTCGAACGCGAAGTAAAGTAGCAATTTTTGGATGAGCATTGAGATGAATTTTGCAACCCTTCACACAGATTGGCGTTGTCGAGTGTTCGAACGCGAGGTGAAGTTACACATTTTGCGGTGCCCGCGGAACCCTTCACAGGGATTGGCTTGGTCGAGCGTTGAAACGCCAGGTAAAGTTGCACATTTTAGGTGCCCCGCGCAATCCATGAGAGGGATTTGCCTCTTCGAGTGTTCTATGTTGTAATCGGTAGGTGTGCAGTAGGTCAATTGGCAACCCTTCAGAGGGATTGGCAAATCCATATATCGATAATATATATATATATATATATGTGCATGGTACATAGATGACTCCATGACTCCGTGACTCTATCTCACTACGACTCTATGACGCTATCTCGCTGCAACTCTATGACTTTATGACTCATGACTCATGGACTCTATGACTCTTGACTCTGTGACTTTACGACTCTTGACTCTGTGACTTTACGATCCTATACAGTGACTCTATCTCACTACGACTCTATGACGCTATCTCACTGCAACTCTATGACTTTATGACTCATGACTCATGGACTCTATGACTCTTGATTCTGTGACTTTACGATCCTATACACTGGATCTATCATATAGCCCCACAATCTTCGCTGATGATGCTTTCGGGCCAGTTGTCTTCTAGTTTGGGAACAATCGGAGATGAGACCTTTTTGGTCATCTTGGAATACGTTGGTGTTATGATAGACTATCAGCTTCCACTGTGCCTGAAAACTCTCTGTCGTACAAAACACAAGGGTGTCGACATGCAGAAGCCGCGTGGTTCAAGCACATGCTGGCTCGCAAACACTGCAAAATCCAAACCTCATTGTTTTAGTCGCTGCGGATAGTGCGTGCGGTGTGTGAGGGCTGTCATTTCGCTCTTCGGGCTCTGCCATGTTTAATAAAGATGAACAAAAAACTATGAAATATTTTGTCCTAGCAAACACGCTTTAAATAATTATGATGATTATGCTGCGACAGACAGTGCCAGTTTAGAGCCTTTGTCAAAACGTGTTGTAGTGATACTACGGAAGCTACGCTGCGTCACTGGCTCGGTCACCGAAGTCAAAGATATGAGACTCTGAAGGTGAAGTAGCAACATCCATCTGGTCAGAATCGCTCATAGCCGGAGTTGGAATCGGGTTCTGCGATAGCGAAGAGGATGCTGCACGATCGGCTTGCGGGGGCGACAACTCGATGGTAGTATTGGCACCAAGAGATGTGCTCCATGCGTGACTCTTGAGGAGGAAGGTAGCGTTATCCTGCTCAAACTTTTCATGTTTGATCTTACGTTCAGGCGTCATTGGTGCAGCAACTGGTCGCGGGGGCGGGCTGTCCGCTTCCACATCCAGAGCCTCTCCATTACACATCATTGCCAAACCTGCGTGGTTTTCCTCGAACTCAGAAGCTTCCATCTTGATGACAGTCTCCGGAAGAATGTTGCTGTAGTGCCTCTGCAAGGTGTGCTTGTTGGAATGGACGCGAAGAGCTTCATCGAGCCAAGCTTTTTCTGTGGCAACGCGGGCATCAAAGTCACATGGGGGTGGACCATTCTTCTTGTAATTGTTGAAGCGAGGCTTGCACTCATCCACCAGTATATCCTTGAGGACCCACTTCATTCTCATGACGGGTAGAACATCCTGTGAGGGAGGACGGTAGTAGATGCAATCCTGGCAAAGACGATGAAGACACTACGTTTTAGGATGGCTCTGGTATCTGCGCTGGGAATATGGCCTATGGCGGGCTTGATCATATTCACGAAGTCGTCATGGGAGATGGATGCTGCGTCTGGGTTCTTCACCTCCAGCTCGGCATACGAGTTGTCTATGACAATACGCAGTTGGCCCTGGACGAATTTGGCAGCGGTCCACCTCTCCTTGAGGATGCCTTCGTTGTTTCCAACATCAGAGAACGCTTTCTTCTTTTTAATGGGCTCGAGGGATACATCTCCGTCGTCGTACAGAGCAGGAGTAGACTTACCAAAGTGCAAGCCACGGAAGAAATCAAAATCTTCTGCTGTGCGAAAATTTCCGTCTCCTCCATGATATCTGCTAAACAACATGGCAGTGATCCGAGCCAAGGGGGTTTTCCCGACCCCAGGCTCTCCCATTAGCCAGAGGCTGTGGTCCAGCAGCAAGCCAATGGCGTCTTGAAAGATATTCTCCACAAAGTTTGGGTGAAGGTCCTGCACAGTAAGGTCATACCTTGTGATGAGTTTCGCCAGACAGTTGTCGTTTGCCAGGGAGTCCAATGCCTTCTGCACCAGCTTTTCAGACCAACCACGAATGGGGGAGCCGTCTCTGTTGATGTTCTTGTGAATCCACCGGAGTTGCTTCAACTGACTTCTGTCACGCTCTCCGTGTTCCAAGATAAAGTCCCATCCCGCATCTTGGTCATCTTCGGTAGAGGTTGCGCCCATAGCAGATGATGCTACAGGCCTTTTTTTCTCTGTCGAAAGGGAGAACTGCCTGAATTGCAAACCGCCTGTTTGCTCCAACATCCACTGTAGAGCTTTCCGTTCAACAACCTTGTTTCCGTGACCCCAAGCAATTTCGTAGAGTTTGCCTGTAGCACACGCTTCCACCTTAGCTTGCGGGAATCTCTGCTTTGTCAAGTAGACATGCTTGATAATCGTGTAGTTGCCGTTGGACTGCTCCTGAATGAAGTACTGCGTCTTGTAGTCAAAATTGGGATTGCCCTTTAGCTTCATGATAGCAGGAAGGTCACTCCAAGCCTTGCTCTTGAAAATGCCCTTGAGATTGTCGATGTCCAGATCGGTTTTTGTAACATCATAAGAAACATCGAGGAAGTGCGTCATGAGCTGGGCTAGCGAGGAGAACCTTGGTATACAACGAAATGCAGCGCCAATTTCAAAAGTAACCAAATATTATACGATTTATATTTATGCTATGGTTTCAAACAACCACAAATGTTCTTATCATAGACGAGCGGCTCGCGGATAGGAAGATTCACGATGTTGATAGCACCAAGTGGCATACGACCAACACACATGCTCATGAAGCTCGCGGAGCACCATTTGCTCCGTGGCCTCTTTTGCCTGTGCGAAGTGAATGTTGTCCGCGTCCATGGCGTGAAAAGGACGATAGATAGCTATGGTTTGATCTTTTCAGTGGCTACGCGAATGATGTTTGCATGAGTACACGCGATGCTTGGACACGAGTGTGAACGCCTTCGCATATGAAACATATACTAGAATATAGTTCTTTATGATAATATGTCCCAGATTCGCAGATTCGCAGATTCGCAGATTTGACAGACCCTAGGTTGTGGCGCATATACAATCTGCGAATCTGCGAACCTGCGAAGCCGCGAATCTGCGAATCTGCGAATCTGCGAATCTGCGAACCTGCGAATCTGCGAATCTGCGAATCCACTAATCCGCTGAAGTATCCGTCAGAGCAAGGTTCTATGAGCATCAGATACATACACGTCGCGTCGCGAGTCGCTGAAATTGACACGCCCTGAAAGACCCT